GCTCTCAACCTCACGGCTATACGCGCGCTTCAACAGCGAGAAGCAGCCAACGTCAAGCGGCTGCAGTAGATGGGATGAGTGAGGCGGCATGCAGAGCGTATAGATATTGTTCTCCTTGCAGAGCTCTTGAAACTCAAGAGAGTGGTGGCTCTCATGGCCGTCAAGGACGAGCAGGCAACGCACACCAACAACGCAAGTCTTTGTGTGAGCATTGAAGTGCTTCAGCCACTCTACTCCTAGCTTGTTATTTGTCCAGCCATTGTCGCTAACTGCGATTACCTAGTCGCGTGGGATCTCTGCTTCCTCGTACCAGGCAGATAGATGATACTGGCCAGCGAAGATGAGGAACGGCGGGACTGACCAGCCAGCAGCGTTGATTGCAGCAATCGCCGTCACCCACTCGCGATTACCTGGCTGAATAGCCTTAGGCCTGCCTCTTCTTTCTGACCCTGTTACAACAAGTTAAGTTGTAATTTTGCCCATTATAAAGCTAGCCTTGTCAAAGTTGTACACGTCATTATCGCAGATGCTGTACTTGGCCTTTGTCTCCTCTACAAGCTCAAACCAGCTCCTGATTAGAGCTGGATCCTCGCATAGAGCTCTCTGCCTATCGTATGCTCGATTGAAACGCGTCCTAAGACTGTCCGTACGCTTGACAAAGTTGCTTGGCCAGTCTCTGCCTACAGGAGAGCTACCACGCGCTAAGAGTAGCTTATCAGCCATATCACGTACAGCTGCGTACGTAGGCGAAAACCCACGTGTATCTAGATCCAGTATATGCTTTACTATTACCTCCTCCTCTTGCTTGGTAAGCTTCTTTGAGTTGGGCTGGCAATTGCGTCTAGCAGGTTTGCTAGCGCGTTGGCGGTGGAGGGTAGCGCGAGAGACTTCAAACATTACTGCAGCGCGCCTTTTAGTCTGAATTTAATTTGCATTAAGAGCTAAGATTGCAAGGTGTATATCAGTCTTACAAGAAGCGTGTTGGGCTATATTTGGTGGAGCCATAGTTGATTTATAGTTGTAGGGTATAGAAATTTGGTGGGGTGGCTCACTCGCTTCGATGGCTCACTCGCTTAGTATTTACATTACATGTTAGTAGGAACAAGCCCTAATGCCTTAAAGGCCTTTTAGCAGTTAACCTTTATAAACACATTAAGGAACACATCCCTAAAGGCTAGTAGGAAGCCTTCTATATTAATATAGAAGATGTATTAGTGTGCTAAGTCTTAAACACGTTAGGAGTACTTACGCTTTAATAGTAAGAAATAGACCACGTTAAGTGGCTAGAGGATGTGCAATAAGTAATTGATTGATTGATTGATTGATTGATTAGTTTAACGTCCTGTGTGAGTCTAAGACTATATAGGACAAGAGCAGTGAGGCTGCTCTAGTAATTTACAAGTTTTTTCTGTATAAGGGAGAATGTGCAATAAGTAAGGTAGTATATAGAGAGTAAGGATTTAGTTCTCTAGGTAATAGTCCTTAAACTTCTAGTTAAGATAGCTCTTATAGCTGTCTAAGATAAGTAACCTATACACTCCTACCTAACGCGTCTTTGTATATGTGTTAAAGTACTTTAACTACTTAAGGCTAAGCATGTTGTTTGTCTAACTATTCTTAGAGACTAAGAGCTTCTAATTATAGGGTATATCTGTCTCCTCATACTAGGCAGAGATGTAGACGCGTCCTTTGTAGATAATGAAAGGCAGGGTTGCATACCCAGCGGCGCAGATGCTCTGGATAACGGTAACCCACTCGCGATCGCCTGGCTGAACAAGCTCTGGCCAAGCACGTCTCTCCAAGCCTGTTACAACCTTTAAAGACAAAGCAACGCCTATCTAGAACCTAGTTTTATTAAAGTTGTGCACGTTGTTGTTGGAAACGCTATACTTGACTTAAGTATCCTCCACTAGCTTAAACCACGCGCTGATTATCTCAGGATCTTCCTGTACATCGGGAAAAGTTTTTCGAAATCTGGCCCAGACTGGCCGTTGCTGACAGTCGTGGCATGGTCGTGCAACGGCCGTTTAATGGCCCCAACGGCCCTAATTTGCGCCCAACAGCCCTAATTTCGCGCCAACGTTGCTAACAGCCAAAATGCTAAGTGCCTATATTTAATAAACTTAAAATAACATTACAATGTTGTTGTATAGCTACCCTTAGTTCTGCTAACACTAGCATTAAATATTTAAAACTTGCAAAATTTCACGTACAGATAGAGCGAAATTGTAGCTTTAAAATAAGCAAAAACTTATTGTTGTAGGCCTACTGCAACGCGAGTTATAGAGCGTTGAAGGTTTGTTTGTTGAAGGTTTGTGTTTTAAAGTTGCGACAGCACACCACAGCAGCTGCAGCTGCAACAGCACACAACGTAGCAGCTGCAACAGCACACAACATAGCACCTGCTAACAGACACACACACAAACACACACAAAACAGTAGCGCAACAGGAGCTTGCAGAACAGGCAGGCCTGGGCGTAAAAGTCTTGGTTTACCTACTATTCTTGAATAATATTCTTGTATTTTCTAACGTTCAGGCTGCTAGAGCCCTAGCAAATAATCTTAACTTAGTGTCTTGGCAAGGAACATTAAGCTTAAAACCTTCTACACTTAATAACTATTCCATTAATAGGCCTATAATGTTGTTTTATAGCTTATTTTAAAGAGCAGACTTAGTAGTATATTAATATAATAAAATTATAGTTTATTAAGCAGAGCTACTATTATTGCAGGATTAGGAGTTGTTGTAGCTACTGCAGCTGTTAAGACTGTTAGAGCTGTTAGCTCAAAATTGGCTGGACATTGAATGCACATTGAATAACTGTTGTAGGCCTACAAGTCCTACTGTTGCCCACAGTACAATGCCACGATTTCCCTATTTCGACAATGGAAAAACTTTTCCCGATGTAGTATCCTCTGTCTATCCTTGGCTTAATTAAAGGCCATTTTGAGCTTGTCTGAACGCGTTACAAGCCTGCTAGCCATAAGCAACACCAAAACACAAATTGTCCAGATATCTCTCTTCTTGCCTGCGCCCATCTCAACTCAACTAGGATATACTACCCTGAAACTCCTATAGCCTCTAGGCGCCTGGTTGCCTCGCGCTGCCTAGTGCAAGAGTGCCGCCCTCCTGTTCAAATTTTTAAATTTTCACTGCACGGACCACCCACCCTTATCAGAAAATCTTATCTTATCAAAGATCTTATCTACAAGAACACCAAAATCCCCAAAAAAAAAAACAGCCTAGCTACACAACAAACAGCAATAAGCCTTTGCTTAGTTTTCTGCTTTCTAACCTTACTCTCTATTCCTAGAGGTCTACTTGTTAGGCCAGTAAGAATAGAGTATAAGGCAAGAATAGTAAAACTAAGACAGCCTTTTTACCTTATTTTTCAGCTCTGAAAAGCAGACAGAGATTACTTACCTCTGCCTGTGCAAAAATAAGCTCTCCTCTAGTCACTTCTTAATTATTTCTTTATAAAAGAGAAGGACACCCACACCTAGGACCAAGGACCTAGGACAATGGAACCAGAACCTCTAACTAATAGAAAGCAATCTCTAGACAGGGAGACAATAGACCTAAGCACTCCTAGCTCCCCTGATCCTCTAGGAGAGATGTACCTACCTACACCTACTCCTATGCCTCTACCTCAGCATCCATTGACGCCTCTGCTTCCATCTACAGCTATACCTCTAAGCTCTACCTTGCCAAGGCCTACTGCCTCTTCTAAACGACCTGCTAGCAGACCTGCTACCCCCCCCTATGCCTAGACTTCCACCTTTCCAATTTAATGCAGCTACTAGACCTGTTGCCCAGGCACCTATTGCTAAGACAGTAGAAGAGGCACTATCTATTGCTAGAACAATAGTTATTCAAGCCTCCTCTCTTGCTACCTCTAGCAAAGAACAATCCAACATCCTAGACCTCTTAGAAATCTTTAGAGACTACACAGAAAACAACAGACTAAACAAACAAGGCCTCTCTATCCTAGCCTCTCAAGTCTCTAACCTAGAAGCAGTGTCTAAAACAATTGAAACAAGAGTTAGACTCCTGCAAAAGCCAGTCTCTTCCACTGCTACTACTTCTTCTACCCAGCCTAGCTCTTCTACAACAACAAGAACACAGACTACCTCTCTACCTACTTCCTACGCCACTGTAGCTGCAAGCAACTCACCTAAGGAAACAGAGTGGCAAAAGGTTACTAAGAGTAAAACTACTACTACCCCTACAAAGAACTCTCTTAGTACTCGCTAGCTAGTCCTTACACAAGAACAAGAACCTCTAGGTTTTGCTTCTCTTGAAATACGCAACGCCTTTAACTTAGCCTTTGCTAAGAAAGGAGTAAAATCACCTGTTATTGCCTCTGCTACGCTAAGCCTAAGAAAGAATATTGTGCTCACTACTACACCTACCTTTACTGCAAAATACCTACTTAAAAATTAAGTAATCTGGCAATCTATTACTGCATACAAGGAAGCCCTCCCTATAGAGCCCTAGCACAAAGTAATCCTACATAATATCCCTACATCTCTTGCAACAAACCAAGACCTACAGGTGCTAAAGACAGAAATTGCTACCTTTAATAGAGGCCTAACTATTATTAGACACCTATTCTAGATAACAAGCAGAGATAAAAGACAGAGACAGCAACTAGGCTCTGTCTGTGTAGCATTTGCTACAGAGAAGGAAGCACAACAGGCTATTAGAAACAGACTATACCTGCTTAGCGCTAGCATTAAAGCAGAAAGATTTATTGCTACACCCCCTTCTTCACAATGCCAAAACTGCCAGCGCTACGGCCACACAGAGACTAGGTGCCTCTATAGCACTACCTGTAAAATCTGTGCAAAGGAGCACCCTACAGCACTCTACAAGTGTAATACGTGCAATGCTAAAGGCAAGACCTGTGCACACACTCTACCTATGTGCATAAACTGCAAAGAGGCACACACTGCAGATAGCACACAATGTGCAGCTTATAAAGCTACACTAAACGCGCAAACAAACCTAGAATGCTAGACAACTTAAGGATCCTACAAGTAAATCTAAACAAGAGCACACAAGCAACAGAGAGCGCCTTACAACTTGCAGTAGAACTAGCAATAGACCTTATACTAGTACAAGAGCCTTAGCTTATTCCTGCTAGACAATCTCCTTTAGATTACTTAGACAGACGCTCTGTAAATCACCCCTCCTTTACACAAATCCTTCCTTTATTACAAGACTATAGCACAAGACCACGTGTTTTAGTCTACTCTGCACGCACTATACAAGCGCAAGTCACTTTATTAGCAGACACTAGTCCTGATCCTGACTTCCTAGCTATTATAGTTAATAGCTCTATAACAACCTTCTCTATTTACAATGTCTACAACCAGCTAGACACACAAGGCAACACTACAATAGAGAGAAAGCTCCTTAGCACCTCTATCTTGCCCTCCGCCATCCTGCTTGGCAACTTCAATATTAACCACCTATGGTGGGACCCTATAGTGTCTACTATAACTCTAAGAGCAACCAGTTTTGTTACTTAGCTAGAAGAACAAGACCTAGAACTACTAAACAGTCCTAGCATAGGCACTTTCTTTAGGCCTAATATGAATAGAGAGAGTGTCCTAGACCTAACCTTTGCTTCAACACAGCTAGCAAACCTTATAGAAGACTAGCAAACGCTAGGAGGAATTGGCTCTAACTACCTAGGCATCTTATTTATAATAAGGATGCCTAGAACACAGCAACTTAACAAACCTGCTCCTAGGTTTAATACAAAGAAAGTAAACTAGAATCTATTTAGCAAAGGGCTTGCAAAGGAGATAGTAAACAGCTCTGCTCTTAGCAACGCGAGCACTCTAAACTACTCTGCAAGCAGGTCTCTAGCACTTATCTAAGGAGAAGACCAGGACCTAGAAGAGCAGCTAGAAACGCTAGCCAAAGAGCTTACTACAGCTATAACTAAAGCAGCTAAGGCAGCAATTCCGCAATGCTCTACCACTGCAAAAAGCAAGCCCTGGTGGAATCAAGACCTAAAAGCACTTAGGACAAGCATGCTCAGCAAACAACGCAAACTACAGAGAGAACTTGCTATTAGCCCAACAAGTGCCTACACCTGGAAAAGAGAATACCTAATAGCTAGAAACAGCTATCTACAAGCTATTAAAATAGCAAAACGCGACCATTAGAACCATTTCCTAGAGAGAGAGGACCCTAAATTTGTCTTTAAAGCTATGGCTTATACTAGAACTACTTATAGCTAGAACATACCTGCTATCTAAGGCCTAAGGGGAATAGAGGAATCTTTTCAAGGCAAATGCTCTGCACTAAGAGAAACTCTCTTCCCTAGCCCTCCTGCCTCTAGGCCTATAGAGTGGGACAACTACCAACCAAGCAACTGGGAATGGCCTGATCTTACTATAGAAGAGCTAGCATACGCTTGCTCAGCACACATCCAAAGCAGCTCTCCAGGGCCAGACGCTCTAACACAAGAGATTATTACTGCAGCATATAAAGCACAGACAGAAACATTCTTCTTTGTTTTCTCTACTCTGCTTAACTACAGCTACCACCTACAGGAATGGAAGAAAGCAACAGGAATTATCCTAAAAAAGCTAAATAAGCCTAATTACGCTGCACCTAAAGCCTATAGAGTAATTGCCTTGCTTAGCTGCCTAGGCAAGGTTGTAGAAAGAGTAGTAGCAAAATGCCTTAGAACTCTTGCAGAAACAACAGCTCTTCTTTACCCCTTACAACTAGGAGGAAGAGCACAAAAATCCGCAATAGACGCATCTATACTACTGCTAAACCAGGTCCAAGAGCAAAGAAAACTAAAACGCACAACCTCTACAGTATTCCTAGATATTAAAGGTGCCTTTCACAACGTCGCTCTAAACCAGCTACTTGCTATACTACAACAGCTATAGCTACCTTGTAATTTAATAGCATAGGTCCAATCATTCCTATCTAAGCGCCAGCTAAGGCTATCCTTTAATAGAGAAACAGAAGGCTTTAGCAGCATTAAAGCAGGAATTCCATAAGGTAGCCCTTTCTTACAAATCCTGTTTCTAATATATATTAGACCTCTATTTTAGTCTATTACAAACTACTCCCTATCCTACCTAGATAACCTAGCAATTACAGCATCATCTACTAGCCTAAAGAAGAATGTCTGCATGCTAGAAGGAGACATAGCAAGCCTATTTGCTAAAGGAGCAAGCTGCGCTATACAATTTAATGCAGCAAAGACAGAGCTTATTCACTTTACAACAAGTAATAAAGCTATTAGCTCTACACTTACCCTGCTAGACAGGTCTACTATAGAGCCTAAAAACACTGTAAAGTGGCTAGGAATCAACTTTAATAATGCACTCTTATTCAAAGAACACATAGCTACAAGGATTAGCCAAGCAAGAAACGCTTTCTATAGAATGTGCAGACTTGCAAACAGCAATAGAGGCCTCCCTCCTAGCGCTATAAGACAGCTATACTTAGCATGCGTTTCTAGCATCGCAGATTATGGCTGCCAGGTCTTCTAGAAACAACAAGCAGGAATAACAAAGCAACTCCAAGGACTGCAGAATCTTGCCCTAAGAAAAATCCTAGGAACCTTTAGGACCTCTCCTATAGCACCACAGGAGACAGAAGCAGCACTTCCTCCCCCTGCTATAAGACTAAATACTGCTCTAAGAAAGTACGCCTTTAGAGCAAGGAAGCTACCTAAAGACTACCCTATTTACATTGTAATTAAGACTCTAAAAGCCACTCTACAGTTATAAAGAGAAGACTTAGAGTCTAGCACAGAACAAGAGGAAGAATCTGCTCTCCTAAGGCTAAGAATAGGCCCACCTACTTAGCTTATGCAAATTGTATAATTAATACAAAACGCTACTCCTAGCATAGAAGAAGAAAAAATGCAGGACTACTATTTCTGCCCCTGGAACAAGACTATATTATACACAGCAGAGATCTCTAAACTCTCTAAAGAAGAGGAAGCAGAGCAACATAAAACGCAAATGCTACAGGGACTAGGGGACAACATACTTGCTATCTGCACAGACGCCTCTTCTATTAAGAAAGGCACAGGAATAGGAATAGGAGTTACTGCTCTAGACTATAAACAGCAGGCTAAAGAAATCTACTCTACTAAATACAATATTAGCAAAGGCTAGATTGTATACAATAGAGAGCTAGAAGGCATAACAAGAGCCTTTGAGTTTGCAGCTTCTATAGCTACAGCAGGACAAGAGATCCAAGTCTTTGCAGATAACCAGGCAGCTATTCTAAGGCTAAAGACTCCTTCTAATAACCCTAGACAAGCTTAGCAAATCCGCTGCACAAACGCAGCAAAGGCAATTTACAGCAAAGGCGCAACAATTAGCCTACACTAGACCCTAGGACACCTAGATATCACAGGAAATAAAAAAGCAGACACCTTAGCAAAACAAGCTACAAAACAGCAACTAGTATCTAATACTACAAGCCTTGCAATAACAGGTATTAGGATTAAAGCTATTGCAAGACAAGAGTGGCA